CGATGGTAAGGACTGACTTCTTCTGATGTTCAGTCTGCTTGTTGCAAAAGCAAGTTATCAGCATTCCTAGATACAATAACTTCCTCTGAGGTTATCTGGGTAATGTGATTAAAATTGAGAGAATTGAAATACACCTAGACAGCAGAGGGATGTAACTGCATGTTAAAACTTTGGTTAATGGAAGGGAACACATCCTGTCACCAATAATGGTACTTCCTGGAAGTCAGTATTATGGAAAAATGCAGGTTTTTTTACATCGGTACAAATCCCACCCAGAAAGTTAATATAGTTAAGCTTTTATTTAATCTACAAAATACTGACTGAAGCCCTGGCATAATATGTCTTACTACCCATGTTAGACACGACAGTCGAAGTTGATGCAAGTATGCCACTGGAACTTTTTAATACAGCTACTCAGGGAAGGTGTGCAAGTCAGTCTTGAACATTGCAAAAATCACTTACACTTCACTAGAACAGGACCAATCCAGAACATCATTGTAAGAATTTAACCACTCCACTATATTATAAAAAGGACCTGAAAGATTGTACAAAATCCTTGGCTTGCAATATAAACCTCATTAGGAATACAAATGCATTCAGAATGACACACCAACTTCTTTTTGTCATGACAACTTAGATACCACTGTGGCAGGGAAAGGAAAGCAAAGCCTTGGAGACTTAAGTGACTTGCAAGAAATTCTGTAAAATTAGAGTAGCAGAAAGAATATAAAATATCAGCTCTTGCTGTTAGACTAGACAACACCCCTACTGAATTCACTAAGGCAGTTTTGCTTCCTCTGTGAGTCATTTATGAAATAACAGGAGACTACATTGTAGCATAGTTTTCTCCATCAGCTTCTCCTAAATTCTGTGCAACTAATTAATCATAATTTACCTTAATCATATGCACAGTCAAATTTGATTCTTTATCAATGCACAAATGTACATAAATTATATCTTCATAAATAGTTGCAGCTGTTTCAGGATTTTCAGCTCTGGGTTTACACCCATATAAAGACGAAATCTGACAGCATTGTAGAGGGAATGTTCCTTAACTCTTAAACATTACTGTTAGTAAATTGTCTTGATACAATTTCAAACAAACAGATAAGTATGTTTGTATAACAGACTATGAAGTTCAAATTAGTTTACACTACCCACTCGTAACCAGTTACATATGGCTAAGTTGTGTACGATTAATAACCTGCCAGATTGTTAACCTGTCCTAGACTTGGAGAGATCTATTACTGGTCATAGAGTGCTAGGTGTTACCTATAATGCAATAAAATGCATACTCATAAGCACACTGTTTTTATATTCATGCATTACATACATAAAGAATGTTAGCTTGAAACAACTCACAGCAAGACTTGCTTGATCTGCAGTGTGTAAACGTACATAGCGTAACAAATTAAATATCCCTGTACCCAAGGGGAAAAATGTGGCAGTAACTATGAGGCTGCAATTAGCAACATAAAAAATGTGTCCTAAACCACACTGCTGATTCAGTACCTATGAAAGTCACTTTAAAAATCACATACTTGAAAGAATATTTTCAGGAGTGTCTGAAGTAATAGTGGAGGCACATGAAGCAAACTACAGCTTCAGCTGGAAGTGCTTGAAAGATCAGTCTGTAAGTACAAGGCAACAGGAAATATTAAATGGGAGAAATAAATTACAGAAGAGGAAACCAACCAGTAATTCACTTAGAGTAATCAAATGCTCAGGTAGTAAAATCCTACCGCAGTTGTTCCCAGGAGAACATGAGGTGTTTATATTGAAAGTTTTACTCTCAAGGAAAATACTACACACTCCATTTTTTTATTTTAATTAACAAAAACGTTTTCCAATGGAGTAGTTCTAAACCTCAGGAAAAAGGGTGCAAAATAGGTTTTTATTTTGGGGAGGAGGGCATGGATAAAGCCTCAGCAGCTATTTTTTGCTTTAAGGTAGTTCTTATTACAGATCCAGGTGCTCCTCCCCTTAAACAAAACTCAGTGATTCTCACCCCACTGCTAACTCACTGC